GTTGTGTTTTTTTTTTCTTGGCCTAAGCACTGGGCTCTGTTAAAACATCATTTGTCTGCTGGTCCTCTGTAGTCTTGCAGAGCACAGTTTCTGCTGCCTTTCTTTCAGAATTCTCATTTTTACTAGACATTTAGCCCAGAAGAACCCTCACCCTCTGGTGGCTCAGTGTCTGCAGAAACCTTTCAAAGCACTGTGCCCAGAGCATCCCAGCACATTGTTCCTACTGGGTCTCCCTCACCTGTTTACTTGCTGACACCTTAGCAAAAACTTACAGATTTGTGACGGTGGCTTGTTCCCCAATATCTGTTTGTTTGGGATTTTTTCAAGGATCTGCCTAATTTTTGTTGCAATTTCTATCCGTTTGCTTGGAACAGGTATCAAACGTACTGTGCTTCCACAGATCTCCACTGGAATACACCTAAAACTTGCCATTTGCCACCTTCCAGTGATTTTTGTATTATGGTGGTGTTGGAGGAGCGACACACTGCACACCTTGATTCAGTTACTGCTGTGCTGAAGCAGAGATTCAGTTCATGCCAGAGGGGGTTTTAGAACCTTTGGGTGAATATTGTCTGATCTTGGAGATTTGTTACTGTATCTTTTGTTGGTTTCCATAGTTGTTCTTGAAGACAGCTGGGTTTGAGAGAGATCCTCTGTTCTCTGTAATTTATTATTCCTGTCCTCAGGTTCCTCACCTTCTAAATTCCTCCATGATGAAGAGGAATGCACAGGCTTCTTTTTTCCCCTGTGCTCTGCCCTTATCTTCCTTGAATGGCCCTTCCTTCAACTGACCCTGCAGATTCTGTCAGACAAGAGCATGTATTATGGTCTTTCTCATGGGTGCTCTTTATTTCTCTGGCTCAGGAGAGTGTGTCCTCGTTGTCAAAATATTTTCTGACTGATAAATAGCAACAAAACTAAGCCTGACAGTAGTAGTGACAGGGCAGAAGGGAGGCTGTTCCTGAACACCCAGGCTGGATGAAATGGTGGTGCCATGCTGAGAGTGAAGTTGGCTCTTGGGGCAGTAACCACAGTTACTGTAATTAAAATAAACTTACTTCTCTGCCCTGCTCCCCAGCTCGGTGTGGCAGGGCAGTATTCCTCAGCTTTCAAAGAACTTTCTCAGAGTATAAAGAGCAAGCTTCTCCTCTAAATGTCATTGGAAAATCCTATTTTTCTGTTCTCCTGATTTCTCTACTTTATTTAGGGTTTTGGGGTGATGCTTATCTCTGCAAAATCATCATTTAGCAGGGATTTCTTTCAGTGATGGTGCTGGTTTAAAACAGCCTTCTGTTCTCCGCTTCTTGTTCCCCCTGCCCTTTCTGTTGTGTTGCTTCAACTTGTGTTGAGCCAGTGGAACAAGATGGATCTGAGTTAAAACAAACTAACCAACCCAGCCTTCCTCCCTCTTGCCCTGAAACCTGCCTCTGTTTTCTGGTCCAGCTCTGCCTGATGTTGCACAGAGCTGCTTTGGCACAGCGGTGGGAATGGGACATGGTTGGCTGGAAAATGCTGCATCAATTCTTCTGGAGCAGGATCACGGAAGGAAGGGACCTCTGGAGATCATCTAGTCCCATACCCTTCCCAAGCAGGTTCACTGCTGAAAAGAGTCTGGCACCATCCTCCTGATACCTGCCTTCTAGATATTTATAAGCAGCCTCCTCCAGGCTGACCAGCCCCAGCTCTCTCACCCTTTCCTCATAGGCCAGATGCTCCATCCCCTCATCACCTCAGTGGCCTGTGCTGGACTCTCGTCCAGTAGTTCCTTGTCCTTCATGAATTGAGGAGCCCAGAACTGGATGCAGTATTCCAGGTGGGGCTTCACCAGGGCAGAGTAGAGGTGGAGGATGACCTCTCTTGACCTGCTGGCCACACTCTTCTTAATGCAGCCCAGGATGCCACTGGCGTTGTGGGCCACACAGGTCCATTGCTGGCTCATGGTCATCCTGCTGCCCACCAGGACTGCTCCCCAGCTCGGTGTGGCAGGGCAGTATTCCTCAGCTTTCAAAGAACTTTCTCAGAGTATAAAGAGCAAGCTTCTCCTCTAAATGTCATTGGAAAATCCTATTTTTCTGTTCTCCTGATTTCTCTACTTTATTTAGGGTTTTGGGGTGATGCTTATCTCTGCAAAATCATCATTTAGCAGGGATTTCTTTCAGTGATGGTGCTGGTTTAAAACAGCCTTCTGTTCTCCGCTTCTTGTTCCCCCTGCCCTTTCTGTTGTGTTGCTTCAACTTGTGTTGAGCCAGTGGAACAAGATGGATCTGAGTTAAAACAAACTAACCAACCCAGCCTTCCTCCCTCTTGCCCTGAAACCTGCCTCTGTTTTCTGGTCCAGCTCTGCCTGATGTTGCACAGAGCTGCTTTGGCACAGCGGTGGGAATGGGACATGGTTGGCTGGAAAATGCTGCATCAATTCTTCTGGAGCAGGATCACGGAAGGAAGGGACCTCTGGAGATCATCTAGTCCCATACCCTTCCCAAGCAGGTTCACTGCTGAAAAGAGTCTGGCACCATCCTCCTGATACCTGCCTTCTAGATATTTATAAGCAGCCTCCTCCAGGCTGACCAGCCCCAGCTCTCTCACCCTTTCCTCATAGGCCAGATGCTCCATCCCCTCATCACCTCAGTGGCCTGTGCTGGACTCTCGTCCAGTAGTTCCTTGTCCTTCATGAATTGAGGAGCCCAGAACTGGATGCAGTATTCCAGGTGGGGCTTCACCAGGGCAGAGTAGAGGTGGAGGATGACCTCTCTTGACCTGCTGGCCACACTCTTCTTAATGCAGCCCAGGATGCCACTGGCGTTGTGGGCCACACAGGTCCATTGCTGGCTCATGGTCATCCTGCTGCCCACCAGGACTCCCAGGCCTTTTTTGCACAGGGTTGCTTTCTGATTGTTTGCTGAGGTACAGGTCCTCCTGTTGTAGATGTGGCTGTAGCTGGTACAGCCTGGAGGTGCTGATCAGGCCTACAGCCTGCTCTCTGGGCAAGGTCTCTGCCAACATCAGTACCCACCATGGGTAGTGCTGGGGTTGGAAAGTAGCTGTTCTGCAGTGTTTTTTACTGGGTGGTTGAACAGATTCCTTGCACCTGGCTCATTTGTTGAGCATCTTCCAGTCCCTGCTGGGAGTGAGGTGGCACAGCTCCAGGTCACAGCTCTCTTCATGATGTCTGCCAGGCTCTTTTATCAATTGCTTAATACAGTGCTGAGTCTGGGTTCTGCATAAAAATAACAGTAGATGAGCATGTGGCAGTGGCTGTGTCTTTGTTCTTGGGGGGGAGATTAGACCCTTGTGGGCAAACGTATAATTTTGTCATTTTTATAAGTTATCTGTAATTAGGAATGGCATCATTTTGTTTAGCTTTTTTTGCTGGGAAATAATCACAAACAAGGAGAGGAGTGTGACTTGTAAAGCACAGTGCGTGGTGCTTGCAGTGAGTATCTAATTTTAGCTCATGTCCACTTACATTCCTTGGGACCTAATTTAATTAAAGTTGATTAAAATGGAACATTTTCAGTTTGTGAGGGAGCATAATTTTGGAGGGGAGGTGTGAAATACAGATTTGTAACTTAGTATGTGCCAGGTGGTTTAAAAAACAGTCTCAGAAACATTTATGCATGGATACTGCAGAGATAAATGCTGGTATCACAGCAGGTCTGAAGGCTTCCAAGGGTGGGGTTTGGAGGGTACCATTGCTTGAGTGGAGGATCTCAAGATCTCCAGCTGCTCGTTGGTGACTTCCAGACTTCCCAGGGAACCTTATTTCATGGGTGGTAGGAGAAAGATTCGCATTGGAGGTGGTTTCAGAATTTCCCTTTAGCAGAAAATGTGAAACCCTCGATAACCTGGACTCGAGTATGATCTCTTAGAGTTTTCTGGCTTTCATCAGTGGAGCCACTAATATGGATGTAATTCAAACCTGTGGTTTTTGATCCTAAAATAGGTAAAAGAAATCACATCTTAGGTCTGGTGCTTAGACACTGTCCTAATGACTGACTGCAAGGGTGGCTCAGCCATAGGAACATAGGTCCCTCAGCACTGAGGTTGTTCCAAGTGAAGTGAGAAATTCCACTTCTGATGGGAGGTTGACCCAAAGTTAAAGGCTGGGATGGAGTAAAAAAATCCTTCTGCTTGCCCACTGTACAAGTTCCCTTTGATCTTAAAGATCTTCTGTCCCTAAAATGCATTTATCTTTAAATTCAGTGTTTAATCAAAGCTTGCTTTCTTCTGTTTACCTCAGGCCTTGCTCTGCTGCCAGGGATTGTGCTGGGCAGACAACGTCAAGTCAAATAGCAGTGGAGAGTACAAGTTTGGGGGATTAAAGGGGTGTTTGTCTGTAGCCCAAAATAAAAGGAATTTTCTTAGAAACCTGTGTATGAATGTGTACAGAAGAGTGTTTCCTTTCATCTGGTTTGGTGGCGACACAGAAGCCATAGTGTGTCATTTCAGTCCTCAGCTATCAGCTGAGGTGGGATGCTCCATTTCTTTGTATTTCTTGTCTGCTCTTTCCTTTCTTTAGATTCTGACATCTCTGATTTCTACTCTCTGCTGTTTGAGGCTTGTGTTCTTATCATCTTTTTATTGTGTTGGAAAGGGCCAGGAAAGGTGTTGCTGATGCCTCTCATGGAAAGCTTAGATGAGGCACAACTGGGAACTCAGGTTCCAGAGCTTTCTTGAGCCCACTGTTCATGTGGGTGCTTTAACCAAGCTGGGTTGGTTGGCCCTGATCTGGAGAAGACTTCCAGCACAGGTCTCTGGTGGCTGAGAGATTCCTGGTGAAGTGTTCACCTTTCTCCATGTCCAGAGGTGCAGTTCAGAGATCAGGGGTTTTCGTGTGGAGTGTTACTCTCCCAGGCAGCACTGCCAGGAGAACCTCTCCTCCCTCAGTGTGGGGTGCTCTGTAGTCCTGGCTGTTCCTGAGCTCTCTGGCATCTCACTGGCTTTCCAGGTGGAACTGGGTGTGCAACTGCTGGGACCTGCCTCTGAAGGACATGAAAATTTTCCTCCCAGAAATGCAATAAAAGACCAAGAGAGCAACCAACAGATACAGCAGCTGGTGAGTTGGGAACCTGGTTTTCGGTGAAGAAGTGCTGTACTTTTTCTTAGGGCTTTAACCCATGCAACCCAGGAAGAGATTTTGGGGACTTAAGTCTTTTTAAGGTGCAACTGCCCTGCAGAAGTGGGAAGCTTGGGGAAACAGTGGGAAAACACAAGACATTTGTGTGGGGAGTGTTGCTGGGTGACAGCTGCAGGGACTGGGCAGCTCTGGGGAGTATGTCACACTAAAATGAGAGGGAAACACACCAGTAGCTTCTGTGTTGTGTTTGGTTTAGTCTTACTTGAACTGAGAACACATCTGACTGACGTGGAATGTCATCACCTGATGCATGTCCTGAGAGGAATATGTCGTTTGTGAATGATGCTAGCAAACTAGGATAGTTCCCAGTGAGGTTTAGCAGTTCTTATCTGTCTGAGAAGCCAAGAGTGGTAGCAACTTACTGCAGATAAAAGTGCATAACCAGAGGATGTCTGCTCTCTCTTAGATGTCATTTAGATTAGAGCAGGAGCAAAGACAGCACAGCTGGTGCTTCAAGCTGCATATTTTGCACAGCTCTGTCTTTTTACCCCCTACATCCTGCCCCCATATTATTCTATACAAATAGGACCCATCTGTGCAAATGGGAATTGGAGAACTGTTTCCAGGAAAGGCAAGACTTGGGGAAGAAAGCAATATCTGATTCACTGTACATTTTTGTTTTGTTTCACTACCTTTTAAAAAAGAAATGTCCCTTGGTTTCTATATAGTTGATGTTTGTCACAAAGAGGTTTTCTTAAGAAAATAAAAATAGCTGATGCAGTATTGGGTCTGAGAAGCTGGACTTGAATTTGGGCTTGTAAGAATGCAGACTTACTGATCTACTTAATGTTTGTTTCTTACAGGAATCTGAACTCAAGAAAAAGCGCAAAAAATGTGAAAACCTTGAGCATGAAGTGAGGAAAAAGCATAAAAGATGCAAAGAGCTGGTAAGCGTTGTTCTTGCCTACATTTGTGAGCACAATGGTGGAAGAGGAGCTACATTGTTATGTGCCTCTTGGATTCTCATCAGTTTATCTTAATAAGGAAACACCAGTTCTTCTCCTAATTTGAACAGTGTCACAGATTTTGGGCTCCAGGCCTTGAGGTTGGAATTGTTTGTTTAACCTTTCAGGTAGCTGTGGGTTGAGTACAGGCACATAAATCCCTGGATGGAACTCTGTGGTGTTTGGTAGTTTGAGGAGATACTTGCCATTTGCACATGCACTCCAGACAAGTATTGAAAGATTTCTGCATCTTGAGATGCTAATTATACAAACTCATGGTCTTTTTCTGTACTTCTTACTGTTTTAATTAAATCTTGCCTCTGTTTAATTTTATGGAGGCTTTGCAGGTCATGTTACAGCATCTAGGTTTCTCTCTTCTGCTTCTACTTTGCTGAGCAGCACCGCATTAGTGACTGACAATGTATAGTTTCACCCAAGGTTACCTTCTGATGAAGGTAATGATCTTATGTCTTGCTCCACTCTCACTTCGGGTCAGTTCATAGTGCACAGCTCAGCCTCATTGTCTGTCTTAGAATAGGACATCTGAGGAACATGTTGGTCATTGGAAGGGACCAGCTCACCTTGAAGTACTGGGGCTTAGTTGTGTGCACAGGAATTAGCTCTTGGAATATTCAGAAGATATTTGATGATCCATAACCATCAGGATGGGGAAGTGTGTATATGTCTCTCTGAAGTTATGTAATAATGCAGCTATTAAGTTCCTGTCATGCTGTAGGAACTTGTTGCAGGTGGACTGGACCTGTCAGATTCAGTCAGTGTCTCTCCATATGTCTATGGTCTCTTGCCTGCTCAGAGACTGTGTTCATGCTGCTTTCCTAATGCCAGACTGAATCCTGGTCTCAGAGTCAGCCAGTTGCAGTCTAGAACTCTCTTTAGCATCATTCTTCCTAATAATTTTTCTTCCTTAACTGAGATTTGTCAAGAAGACACTGATCTAGAAGCAATGGTAAAACTTAATGACTTGTTGAAGGTGAAGCTCTAGAGAGCAGTATATAAATAAGGTGACACAAGCTGTGAAGCAAACAAGGAAATGTCTTTCCCCTTCTGGGCTTTGAGGCTACATAAAGGGCAAAAGAAACTGAAGAGTTCATCTGGCACAGGGCTGGTATCTGCCTGAGTAGTTCTGCATGCTGCTGCCTTCCACCCCACGAGCAGCATCCCATCAGCATCCTGCACCATCAGTCAACAGTCTGCAGAATAATTTGGGGGAGTCTAAGGGCCATGGTGTAGTAATACCTGCTCTTTCTGGACAGGAGATCCAGCTGCAGGAGGTACAAAGTGAAAATGCACGACTGGCTGAAGAGAACTTGCAGCTGAATGAGAAGACTGGATGGGCAGGACAGGTAAAAAAAAAACAGTCGGTTTGTTAGATGGAGCATTAGCTTCTCTAAATTGTTGCTGATGAGAATTTGCTCTCATGTGAAGCTTCCATTTTCCAGCTGAGTAACAGTCACATGTTGATCATGGTACCCCTCTGTCCTGCCTACCCCATGGTGACTGCCAGCAGAGCAGTTAACTGCTGTGCTTTTATGAGATGCTTTGTCCTTAAGTTACTGCTTGGTTTGCCTGTGGTAACTTGTTAATGAGTTAATAACCAAAGATGGATGGTGGTTGGTGGGGAGGGATGTGCCCCGGTCAGAGTGGTAGCAGAGCAGAACCCATCACTGCAAGTGGTACAAAGCATATGGTATGTTTGAAAGTCCTCAGTTACCTCTGACATTTTTTTTGTCATCCTGGAAAGGGGGTGTGGGTGGCTGATGATGGGGCAGGGGAAAGAGGCACACCTGCAATTTATAGCTGCCCTTGCCAGATGGAAAACCAAAAAAGCTTCAGGTCTTGGGACAAAGGCAGGATAGTGTTTCACTGTTCAGTTTGCAGAGCAGAATTCAGGAGAGGGTGGCTGCATGTTGGGGATTTGTGTTCTAGGGACACGTTGTGTGTGAGAATGGTGGAAGTTGGTCCTCCAGTGAAGATCCTCCATAGGTTTTCTCAGCTCCTTCTCTGGATAAATGTTATTATGCACAAGAGTTAGAAAGTAACGTGTCTGTCCCAATGTCAGTGTTGCCACCATGCATAAGACTTCCCACATTTTAATAATTATTCTAAGTGGAAATGTTTGCCTTTGCTTGATTATCTGCATTGCTAATAATCATCAAGCTGTAGTGCACTCTAGAACCAAAATAAATTGCTGAAATTTTTTGTAGTGAGTGGAGGATGTAAACATGATTTTAGCAGCCTGCT